TTTTTTTTCCCGTTATTTTTAACATTAGTATCTGGCCAGAATTTCTCTATCATCATCTCTAATGTCAAAAAAAGAAAAAAAGCCAAAAGTTAAAAGGCTGAGAATACATCATATTTGCACTTGCGTTCATTATTATTATTTGAGTCCCACATTATTTTTGCTTCTAATATTACTGACACTTTAAAGGAAGGACAAACTTCACTTGATTTTTACTGCACTAAATTCACTAAGTGGCTCAGGGGACTGGGAAGCGTATCTGTATCTGGAAGGTCGCCGGTTCGATCACCCGGCTCTCTATCCTGGTCGTTGGGCAAGACACTTTACCCTACTGCCTACTGGTGTTGGCCAGAGGGGCAGATGGTGCGATATGGCAGCCTCGCTTCTGTCAGTCTGCCCCAGCTTGCCTCCACCAGTGTGTGAACGTGAGAGTGAATGAATAGTGGAATTGTAAAGCGCTTTGGGTGCCTTGAAAAGCGCTATATAAATGCAATCCATTATTATTATTACTACATAATATCAGCTTGTGTGCTCTTGATTGCCCTTTGATCGGTCTAAAATGAACAATTAAAACATGTTTGCATGCAGTGAAGACCAGTGGAGATGAACACATTGCTGGCCACGGTGTATTCTTTATTTTATGAAATGAAATAAAAGTTATAAGACCTACTTACCACTTCTGAACTTGCTTGATAAATTATACAAGAGTTGTTTGCATATCTGCTCCATTTACTATGCAAGGAATATGATTTTTTTTATTTATGCTCTCTTTGATTGTTTAGGTTTGCGCTCACGTAGGTAGAATCGTACCGTATGCATCCTAAGCGCCTGTTTGGTTGTTTCTTTGTATTTTTATGCTTCTTCCGCAGATGTGCAGCAGTAATTGGTGAGGGAGATTTTATGTTGTGCTGACTCAAACAGAGGTAGGCCATTAGACTGACAGCAAGACCGTGCCATGAGGCTAATTACCACCCTTTGCCCTGAGGACATATTCAAATTCTCTCATGTTCATAAATACGTTTACTCGAAGTTCTCCAGAGGCAGCTCTATAAAACCTGCAGAAGTTTGTTGTGTACTGAAGTTTGGTACCAGAAGGTGCAAAGAGAACATCCCTGCAGAAGGCTGCCATGTTCCAGGCCGCCTCTTTAGAAAACCCAGTAACTGGCACAGTCAGTGGACGCCTGGTGACCAGAGAAAGAATGAACGCTTTCATTGGAGTCCAAGTGCATGGTTTTTTTTTTCTTTTCTTTGTTCTCTGTGACTGTGTAATGAGAACCTGGGGGGAAAAAAAAAGGAAAAAACCCAATAGACAGTTACAAACTTGCCACAATCTCATTGTGGAATTTGCAATTACTTGCTGTCAGAGCAAAATCTCAGAGTACACTCTCAGCTGTCACTAACAACACTTTGTTAAGCAGTAGTACTAGTTTAGAACAGGCGTTTAGGGACTTGCAGTTATTTGCTTTTGTGATCAGAAGGGAAGATTAATGAATTGCTGTTGAGGTGCAGGTAGGCAATGGTTAGCTTAGCTTAAAGAATGCTAAATGATCTTTAGAATTCATAAAGCGAATCTTTGAGACAAATCTAGTCACTGAAACGATGAGCTAGCCTCTTTTCAAAGCTCTCTAAAAGAATAGGTTAACATTTTGTTCAATACTCTTTTGCTAGCTGTCAGACAAGAGGACTGATATAACTCACATACAAAGCTATAGCTAGCCTATCTTCCATTAGAATTACAAAGAAACAGTTAATTCTTTGTGATGTTATATAAACAGTGTTATTTACATAAGAGCACAGGTTGGATCTGTAAATGATGTACATGAGAACAAAAGGTGTGCCTATAGCTTCAAGGTCCTTTCAGGATCAAGGGCTAATGAAGATGTACGAGACTCGCCTTTTGCTGTTGTCTTTCTGTTTTTTTATATATAATTTTAAGAAGAATCATACAAGTTAAAATTTCAAAAACAGCTTTTTGTTTTCATCTACCATCAATGTAATCTCTAAAAAAGACAAAATTTGAAGATTTCTGTTTTATGCTTTTTTGTTTGTTGTCCATTTGTCATCCGAGCAACAGACCGATTGAGAGTGAGCAGTTTTCGGTTGCAAGAGATATGCTGCTGTCAAAATGCTTTGAATAACCATCAGCTACGATCTAATGAGGATTTGGGTTTTTATTAGCCTTTTAAAATAAACCTGCTTCTGTAAACAAAGCTGGGTAGATGAAAATGGAAACCGTGATCCAGATGTGGCTACTCTTAAGGTCATATTCTCAGATTGATCAGACCAATGTGATCAACGTTACAAAAGAGCAATAATTAATTGATCAAATGTATTTTTTTATACCCTTGTCTCTCTCACTTTTTCTCTTAGGCGTAAGTCTCATACATACCTGATGCTCTTTGTATATAAGATACAGTTGTGCTGTTATTCAGGTAAAGGCACCAGTTTGAATGGAGCCATCCAAGCCATGTTGGTAATGTAATAACAACAATGACATGTGTGTTCTCAGGGGCATTTTATATCATTATGCACTCATTAGCGCACCCCTGAGTGCTCTGCTAGTGCTCTCCAATGGTTTTGTCTCCGAAACCCTTTTCTGAAAACTAGTATTATTCTCCATTTTAGGCTAATGATGATGATCTGTTACCTTTTTGCATTTTTTTTTTTAAACACTCACATAATCTTGTTATCATCCCGACTAAAAGTCTTTGAACTCTTTTGCTGTCGCTAAAATTTGTTTTAAATTATGCAAATGAAAGTGAGAGTCATCGTTTTTTGCCAGCAGAGTCGTTTGTGGGGGATGCACTTATTGTGTTTTAGTACATTATAAAACTTGGTGTGGAGAAGAACTATAGTAGAAATCCCTGAGCTGTTGATGTCTGTCCCCAACACAGATGTTTTGGACATGCGTCAAATAACTATTTCAGGTCTCCTACGATGAATGATCTTTGTGCACAATGCATGAAAACGAATATCTTTGTGTTCATCAGGTACTGAAGATCAACCTTATCGGCCACAGAAAACGGATTCTGGCCTCATTGGGGGACCGGCTACACGAAGACACCCCACAGAAACCTCCACGGGCCATCTCCTTACGGGTGAGTGAGTCTCTGCAAGCTGACAGTATGCGGTTTTACCCATGACAATATTGAGCAATATCTTAACCAATTAGGATTCAAATGATCATGACTCTATAAGACAGTAGTTCCCTTCCCAGATGGCTCTCTATTTCTCTGAGGGAAATTCAGCCTCCCCACTGCTGCAGTTACCACCCAAATGATTACCCAAATCTCTCGGAGAGGCGCAAAATGGCCGTCCCACTGCCGTTTCCTCCCTGCTGATTTGTCCTGGATGCTACTCACAATGAATTGGCTTTCCCTCTCCCATCACAGCCACACTCCTATATCTCGGCTTTTTCAAGCCCAGAGAAAGCCTGAAAATCTGGATGCACTGCTGAAACAGCCCGCTGTTCCTAAACACGTCTTCCTGTAAACCACTGAGTCATGAAATAGGTTGAAAAATATTACAACAATAATCCTTGTTAGTTTCCAGGGGGAAAGGAATTTGTTTGGCTCCTTTAATAAAGTTCGAAATGCTTAACCAGGCACAAGCGCTGTTAGCTTCAGCTAGATCCAGCGTGTATAGTATGCGGTATTGCTTGAATGTGTCGTAACAATTTTAAACGTTTTAAAGTCCACATTTCAAGACATATAAAACAGAAAAAAGTTCCAAACTAGAGCAAGCAAATAGTCTAGTCTGAAACGAGACTTTCAGACTTTTAATATCAGTCCTAATTTCACAAAATTCCCTAAAGGTGTTACAAAGATGTGTAATTAAAGCAAAGCGTGATGATACTGAATGGCTTAGTGCAGGGAAAAATTATGTATTCAAGCCCCTTTTCTTCCAGTGTGTGAGCAGAGGGCTGTGTTTACTCAGTAATCCTGCACAAACAGGAGCAGATAGTTTTGTGTGATGGACAAAATGGGTGAAGGAACACAGCAAAGCTTTAGACAGCAACTGAGATGCAATGCATGAGCTTGCATAGGCAAGAAAATATTACCAAGCTTCTTCAAGAGTCTTCTCGTACGATATCAGCTGAAAGTGAACAGCCTCTCAGGAGAAATAACTGACCTTTTACTTTGTAAGACCCTTGTGCCAATGGAAGTTTTAATTCTTTTGGGGATTTGAGTTTCTACTCAAGTTTGAAAACCTCTTAAATGAACATCATTTTCCACTTTAAGGATTTAGCAGGTGCTTTCGCTTAAAGTGACTTACAGTGAGCAGGCAAGGGTTCACTGTTGTGATTAAGGACACTGATGGATCTACTGAGACCTCCTGGTAACAGGACACTGCTGTTCGTCCTCAAGTTTGCAAAGTGGTTTTGGGTAGTCAGCAGAAAAGCATCACTGTAGCTGAAAAATGTAATGTGACACATTGCACTGCATTGCCCTACTTTTACACTTTCAGCGGTGACATAGCACATTATAATATGATATACAAAACCTGACTTGCTTCCTTTAACCCCTCTCAATCTGCCCACGCCCGTTTTGCACCAGGAGCCCGGAGGAAATCACACTCCTCCCCAGCTCAGCCCGTCGGTAGGCCAGGCAGCGTACACAGCAGGGGTCCCAGGTGGATCTCTGGACGTGCAGCACCTCATGATGCAGGCGGACGCCCGGCGCAGGCAGCGCAGCAATGACAACTACTTTGAGGACGTGCCGCGATCCAAGCTGGAGCGACAGATGGCTCAAGTCAGCATGGTGAGGAAGGGAGGAGAGGATGGAGGGATGAATGAAGATGGGAACTGGGAGAGAGGGATGGACTCCAGGAGTGTATTATGAATGGTCATAATCATAGATGCAGACCTGGCTGCTTGAATACATAAGCATTCTGATAGTTGCATTAAAAGCCGAAATATAACACTGAATCAAATCGAATACGTCTCATCAAAACCTTTCAAGGTTTATTGTGTTGCTCACTGTTGAACAGTGAGAGTTAAGAAAACAGAATAAGAAATAGTAGAAAAGCTCATTTTCATACCAAAATGCGTTTCTTTATGTAAAGTAATATAAATGCAAATCTGATTTCAGGTCTACATGTAAGCTGTAATCTATTATTATTTATTAGAAACAAATGAGCTTCATGGCAGGCATTTTGTAATCAGGACAGCAGAATATATCTTAATTACAGATGAAATATTAGTAATCAAATGACAATCTTTAAAATATGAGATGGGAGATAAAAATATTGTCTGCTTAGTTATTCTAACATAAGTCATCATTAATAATCTACAGCAGACCATCTAAGCAGTGTTTGCTGCATAGACACGTCACTAAAAATACCAAACACACACACATATATATATATATATATATATATATATACACACACACACATATATAGACTTAAGAAGTAAGCATCTCGTCCATTTAGCCACTTGTAATCTCATGTGAAATGCTAAATTAGAACATTATGGCTTTCAATCAGTAGCAGCACAGTGATTCAGACACATCCCGGCTTACATCGGAGGCAGCAGCAGCTGTGTTTTGGTTCAGTATGATTGGGGTCTTTTGGTGTCTCCGTGTGAATCAGAGAGCCCATCAGTGCAGACTAGCACACGGTATGCTTGCCCTGATAAATCTCTTTTTTGTGTGTTTGCGTCACAGTGTATCCCCCCCCTTTTCCAAAAGCAAATCTCTGTTGAATCATCTCTGCAAGAATAGAAGGACAACTGTTAGAGGAAGGAGGAAACATCCTTATTCTGTGTCATTACCCTTGTTCTCTGGCTGTCACAATGTTTCCATGATTGGTTGCCGCAAACGTTTCTCACGCCAGCTCTTCCCTCACCGTCTGTTTTCACTCTCCTTGTTTCCTCCCCAGAGAACAATTACTGCAGCTCACTTCTTTCTAGACACATTTGGCCATTAAAGTGGTAAAACTACAAACTTTTTACCGACTAAATATTTTGAATCGTCTCTCTCAGAAGGGAAAAACTGTTTAATCTGGTTAAACCGGTGGCGTATAGCATAGAATTGACTCTCGCGGACGCTCTCCAAAGGTTCGTCCCTGAGCTGTTTATTCAACAGTTTTTGCATTGGAATAGAAGATCTCACCTCTGCGGTCCATCAGCCTTCCGCCAAACAAAAACAGTCAGATGTGAACAGACACATAAAAATGCAGTGTTTGGCAGAGGATGTGTGAATACCTCCTCAGGCAAAAATCATCTGGTTTCATTTATAAAAGGAGGACTAAAAAACAAAAAACAAAAAGCAACAAAAAACAAAACAGGCTTGTTATCCTGAGACATTCGAGAAGGATGAAGGCAAGATTTGGGCATTTTCTTTCTGTTTTAAAAAAAAAAAAAGCTGGATACTTTACTGGGTGAAAAAGCAGCGAGCGGCTCAGCTGAAGCATGCGAACATGCAGGAGCCGAGCATAATTCATCCAAGTTTAATTTCCTTTTGGATGCTGTCCAAAGCATGTCCCCTTGATGGCGTGTCCACATGCAGTCATGAAAGCTGTTGTATTACAAACTTACACACTTTTATCAGGTCAACACGGGATATGCAGCACAGACCGCAATGTCATGCCCTCATCTTTTACTCCTGTGTAATCCCGACATGCAATTGCTTGTGTTTTCAGGCAGGCGAGTGGTGTGAGCCAATCACGTTGCGTCCGCCAAACGAGGCCACCTCATCCACTCCGGTGCAGTACTGGCAGCATCACCCCGAGAAGCTCATCTTTCAGTCCTGCGACTACGAAGCCTATGTGAGTCATACACTGTTGTTGAGCATTCTTAAATTTTCCCTTTTTATTGATCATTTGGTTTATAATGTAGCAGTAAAATCCCTGAATCCAAGCACTATAAATAACTATATATTTTTCTACCAATTGAAAAACTAGTCATAATCTTTGCTGATTGATTCGTGGCTTAACTGACTAAATGTTTCGGTTCTATTTGAATGCTGTCAATTCCTACTGCATATAACATTATTAAAGATCAGTGACCCTCAGCTTCACCTCTCAGTCAATACTGCACTCGGTTATTCTCAGTACTTTGGTAAATTTAGACCTTTGCCAGTTACATAAAGGATGTTACATATCCACGTTACCACAGATACAGCCTCGCACCTCTCACGGGTTACATACTGAGCTTCCAGGCTGAAGCGATTACTTACTTGGTAACCAGAAACCAATTTGCCATTTGCTTTCAGAAACACTGACAGGCAATATAAATGGATCTCTTAGACTGGATGGTTTGATGGCAGTGAGATGAAGACAGAGTAGTTATGAGCTTGGTTATTATGTAACAGAGGGGAAAAAAAGAAGCTGGGAAATTAAATTGATGTCTAATTTGGAAAAAAAAAGCAGGGAAAAAATGAGATAGAGGTTGTGAAAAAGAGGTGCAAGAAGTTTCCCAAGAGTGTGTCATCCCTCTGTTAGAAACCCACCCTTCTTATTTTTTACACCTTAGAAGATTGATAGCAGAAGCTTGGACCATTAGGCTTCCAACAGTTGTATAACTACAGAAGCAATGTGTTTGGGAAAATGGGAGGAATCGACGACGGGTGGGCCACCGGGGAAAAGTGGTGGCGGTGCTTTCATGGAGCCATTTATGACAAGATCTCTAATGCTATCTGTCCCAGGACAACAGGCTCCAGAAAGCTCAGAGAGTGAGATAAATGAGGGAGAGCCTCAACAGAGCGCCAGGCAAGAGCGCTCAGTGTGAATACTGGCAAGGTGACGGAAGCTGGAGAGTGAATAAGAATAAATTAGATGGATAAGACACTGAAGGGGACCGCATTGTATTTGTTTTAATAAAAAAAGAGGAATTGCTAAAAAAAGAAGAAGAAGAAAGCAACCAGGGCAGAACAATAGATGCGATGCATCAACGGTGTTCTCATTTTCAGCTCAGACTGCAAACAAACAAAATTCTCTCTACTTTCAGCGGCTCCTCGCATAACATTGCAACTTTATTATGTCAGCTTTACAACTAGATTTTGAAATTATTATCTGAAGTTATTAGAGATCCACTTCCCGCAAAACCCTGCAGACATTTTGACATTATTACCAAACATGCAACATCATTAACAGCCAATATTATCTCAGCACAGACTGCCTACTCTTTCTTATTAATGAAAAAAAAAAAACGTTGAAGATAGGAAAATACAAAATATCTTTGAGTAATACTCAGGGCTCAGACACGAATATTTTGTGATGTCGCTCTTTCATATGGGTCAAGCTGGTGAGCTAAACCTGCTCATGTTGCTTTGTATTTAGTAGGAAAATGGGAAGCAGTGATTTACTGAAACATTTGGAAACACAAATGGGAACTCAGTATATAAGGCAAATAAAGTCTGTACAATTCTAACAACCTTCAAAGTCAATATTTGGTGTGACCACCTTTATGCTTCACAGCTTTCTTGTATGTCTATAATAGTCTCCAGGAAAAGTTCTCCAGGCTTGTTGAAGGACATTCAAAGCTCCTTTTGGGATGTTTGGCTGTAAACACTCACTGTTGTGGCTCGATCATGACACATCCCTCCATAAGACCTGTTGCCAGTGATTTTCAGTTCAGTTCTTGTGTCATTTGGGATACCTCAGCCTTTTCTCCTCGTTTCTCATTTCTTAAGAACTTGACTTTCAGGTACTATTCATCTGAGTTTTTAGGCGTGACACTTCTTCTTTTGTCCTCTACTTGATTAGTTTTCTCAAATTCTTAATAGCACGATGGCACCGTGTTGAGATAAGTTTTCTGCTTGTAGCTCTTTGAAAATCACCTTGTTGGTGCAAAATACTTTTTCTTTTCTTTCAAACAGTGTTTGAAAAATCCTTGACATTTACACAGATTCAGTTAAAAAAAGAAGAACAAATAATTTGTTTGTGACAGGCTTCTATCAACGAAAGATAAAGACAGGAAATAATCCATTTTAAATGCTAAGTTGTCTGTTATGTGTAGACAGCACTGACTCATTCCTTGCATTGGGTGCGTATTTTGTGCTTGAATCATTCAAAGGTCAGTATTAAGTGGATTAATTGGAGATTAATTATATGAATTAGAGGAGTGGGACTATGCCTCTGAACACTTCCAGTTCTTATCTATATATGACATCCTCTGTTCTACAAGCAGTTTGTTCTCATTTTCAATCCCTTCACTTCTTCACTTCCCATTAGTACATGGGGATCTGCCAGGCCCAAAAGTCGCTGCCGGTCCCCTCCGAGGCCTTCCCCAAACCGCAGCTCAGTTCATGTTTAAGCCATTCGACTTTATCAACTAAAAACCGCTGTCAAACCTCTAAAATGAGGATGTGGGCCCCTCTAATGAAACATTCCTCTGAAAATGGTCAGAGGTTAGTGCTGGACTGTGAAATCCAACAAATGTGCAAAGAAAAGCTTTGATAGACGATTAGAAAGGCTGGAGAACTCTGTTCCTCAAGACCACTTTAAAAGAAATTGCAAGAAGAATCTGGCTCCTTGGAAGCAAAATATAAAAAAATAGGGAGGTGGCTCAAGATTGTTGGACAGTACTGTCATTCAGAGTTTTCTCGACCTTTTCCTCCAACACCAACATGAAGTTTACATTTGTTGGTGACAATCCCAGCAGGCTTAGAGGTCCATTGTCCACTTAGCATGTAATGAAAACCATCAACCTATGCAGAATAACAATATATTAACATATGCTAAACATTAAAAATGTCCTTCTGTTCATCGTTGCATGCGGATGTTACAGTTACCCAGATACAGACTTACAAAGCTAGTAGCATGGCTGTAGAGTCTTAGCCTTGTTATGATGCCTTGAATTTTATTTGAAACTAATAAAAACCAAAAATTACTGCCAGCGACATGGTATAGGAGACAGCAGCTGGTCTTGTGTGCAACTATAATGCAATTTCTCAGATAACTGCCAGCAAGCCAGCCATAACAGCGATTTAACGTTGTTAGCTTGAGTCAAGACAAAGTATTAACATGCCCAGACGACCTCTTTCTGATCTGCCAAGGACTAGACTATGAAAATATGACTGAGTCAGTGTCTGTGCTGCGAAAAAGCAACTCCTCATGCAAAGCAATTGGCCCAGAATGATGTTTCGTGACTTTAAGCAAATATATTGTCCATCAGATTCAAGACAAATCGCGTGTGGTCCTTGACTTTCGAGTCATTTATTGTAGAGTTAAATAGATGAGATAAATGAAGCTGTAAATATTTCTCTCCTAATTCACTAAAAGCCTGCTTAAGGTCCCACTTTGGGGAATAAAGCCTCGTCAAGAAGCTGGTCAGTCATTGTGAGGCAGTGAATGTCACGCCCATTAAGTGCTCTAATGCCAACATAAACGTTGTCCCTGTAAAACACCGTCACCATTAGTAGCTTCTTTATTAAATCTGATACTACGTGTGCAAAATTACTAACTGCATCCAGACAGAAGGATCTACCAGACAGCAATGTTAATGTACCTCAGGGAGCCACTCAAGGTTGATGTAATCACTGCTGTGTGCCTTTAATGAAACCCCATACGAGCCATGTAGGAAGCCATCCACTCAGTGCCTTCTGTATTGTTTATGCTGTTTACATCCAGGCTGAGCTGGTTGACAGTCAAGACCTGGCCAGCTGCTAAACTAGACACACATAGCAATGGTTAGAGGTAGAGATGCACAGATTCCAATTTCTTTGGTCGATACCGATTTCTGCCAATTCGCTTGAGCCCCTCGTGACCCTAATTTTGCTTATCCTGAGAATGAATGAATGGGATGGTATTTTTGTTCTAAGAACTAAAACTAAGTCAACTTATCTTTAGTGGAAAATATAATTTTTATAATGTTCCCCCAAACTGCAATAGGTTCCAGATCTAATCTCATTTGCAAAACTGAAAATGAAGTGCTCTGCTACTGGAAAAGGGTAGAACTAGCTTTTTATCAGCAAAAAAAAAAAAAAAAGGATCTGCAGATAAACTGTATATGCAAGCTTGACTGGCCACTGGGACATCAGACACTGGTTTTATTACTGTCCTCTTGGGAAGCCATATCTTGGCATTTTAAAACTAGATACAACAGCTGAGGGGTGGACTTGACTGAGCTATGTAGAGACATTGCACACTTCTCACAAGAAAAGTTTAAAAGAAATCTACATGATGTTAATTAAATAAAACTTTGATTATTTGATTATGACTAAGCTGATTGGGAAAGCCTTTACTGAGGTCATGGATCAGGAGTGACACCAGTTGCCCCAGGTTAGCTATCATTAAGAATGCAGGTTTAAGGAACTATGTATCAGTTTTGATTTTCAGACCCAGATGCTCTGTCTTTGATATACAGTCTACAAATACATTGATGAAGCAGGTGTCTTAACTTACGATGTGATTAGAGAGGGCTGCTGTTGGAGGTTGTGGTATCCTCTTCAGCAGAGATCAGTGTAGCGTTCAGCTACGGCACTGCTTGCTGATCATTTGGCAGGTTGGCTCAAGCCATTTTATCATAATCAAGCCATAGAGCAGGGTCACCGCTGCAAGCAGCTGAGGCAGTAAAACAGCTGTCACCAGTCCCGACCTAGACAGGAGCAGTAATGGTAGAAACAGCAATGTCCTACTGAGCAGCACTGATGGCAGCAGGATGGTCTGTTCATTCTTTGAGAGGATGGCTCTGACTAATTCAACAGTCACCATCAGAACGGCGAAGAAATTTGACAGCAGATGACTCTTCCTGCTGCTAGACTTCGTCTCTATCATTTCCGTTTGAGTTATTGGAAATTTAAAAGCAGTCACAAAGTTGATGCAAAAGTTCACGTATTTACCTAGCATCGTGTTGTTTGTGTGTTTCCAACAGTACTTGGGCTCAATGTTGGTGAAGGAGCTGAGGGGGACGGAGTCCACACAAGATGCCTGCGCCAAGATGAGGGTAAAGCTCAATCTAACTTTATTTCTGGTACTGGAACCTCAAGCCAACATCTGGATAATTTTGATTTATTAAAACTCACTCGACCAAATTTAGCCTTGATAGCTAGGGATCGGCCTGCCAGGGCCTCTGCTCCTGGCTGCCGCCCGACGCACATTGCACCTAACCCCTGACCCCTACTGCGCCTCCTGTGGGTGGTGGGCCTACAATAACATGGGCCCATGTCCCTTTTTTGGACTAAGGCCCCAAACTAACTAAGTCAAATTTAAGTAAAATTATTACCAAGCTATGCTTACTAGCTTATACTATAGCAGCTGGCATGAGAGCAGGCTTACTAAACCTTTAAATCTGGGACACAGTCTGAATGCCCTCACGCTCTCACTTGAACTTAAACTTAAAATATCATAGCGGTGGATTAAGTGTGTTGAGGGATTTATTTTTAATATCCTTGCCTGGGTTGCTTGATACCTCACAATCCCCCTTTTACCTCTAATCACCTTATCTCTTCCTCACGCCTTGTGTCATTCTGCTGCTCCCTCTTTTTTTTCATTCCTCCTTTCCTTTGTTTCTTACTGACAAAGAGAAAGAGGAATGTGCCCTACTATCCATGTCTTTTCATCCTGCTCATTCTTTCCATATTTTACTCTTAACGCTGACTCTCTCACTCCTCCGGCCCCCGGCTCTCACCCCGAGCTGCTGCGGTGTGAAGAAGAAATTTAATATTCGTATGCAAAGCTCTCGGTTCCTCTTCTCTCTTTTCTTACTTTCTATATTTACAGTATGCCACCATCATCAGAGGGAAATTTTTCTTCTGCTTCTCATTTTCCTCAGTTTTACCAACCTTTTCCTGCACACTGTGGTTGTAATTAGGTGCAAAGAGATGCACGTCATATTAACCCCAGCTTTTGTAACATCGCTAACGTACCACTCTTTCATCCTTCCCTCCACGGTTGAGGTAGTTTTGGATGTTTAAGATCCAACTTCACTTCCCGGCTCGGATTCACTGCCAGCGAACTGCCTTTGTCAGTTTTTCAACACTACCTGATAGTGACAGGGTCGAACTGTAGCAGCAACATGCTGCAGGAAGGGAGCAAAGAACAGAACAAAGACAAACAGATATGGGATAGCAGCTCGCGTGTTCGACAAGGGAGGAGAAAGAAAGAACGGGCTGTGATAGGAATATGGATGCTGAGGAGGAGGAGATGACAAGTGATGAAGAACACAAAGTTGTTCAGAGAAGGAAGCTTTGAATATATTAAACCTTTTGTCAGGTAGAATGACAGCTGGGAGGGTAACGCTGACATCGCTGTAAATCACACAATTCTTCACAGCACCTCTCGGCATAATGAGTTCAGTATAGGTATGTAATTACAAGGAGTGAGGAGAGATATACTGTCAGAGCCCGATATGACCTAAAAGTTAATAGACTTATTGAATTGAATCGCTGCAGTGACTTGAGTGTAGAAAGGTAGTTTCTTATTTTATTTTTCATAACCTTTGAGAATGGTGCGACTAAAGTTTGGCAATCAAAGCAGAACAGAAATCCTCATTAAGTACGCCAAGTTAAATTGTCAAGTTTACTTTCACGAGCTGCCTCCAAAGTCACTGCTGTTTTTTTTCCTCTTTTTTTTGTCTCTACCTTCTCATTTTTGCACAAGAAGTCGACAGAACAGATGAAGAAAGTGCCGACCATCGTGCTGTCCGTGTCCTACAAAGGAGTGAAGTTCATCGACGCCACAAATAAGGTACAGCAATGCGCACGGCTCGCTTCCTGTGAGGCCCGGTGTAAATGACACACCGAGTGTAAAGCCCGCACAGCATTGCAGTGCTCGTGTCTGCTCTGTGCTGCTGCAGCCTCGCTGATTTACAACGGTATGTACACAGAGCACAAACAAGCAATAATCAGGATGAAAAGGGATGAGCTGAAAGTCTAGAACAGAATGGAAATATTTGAGTTTCATGTGCACATATATAAGAAAAGAATCGGGTACATATTCGGATTCTTGTTTGAATTGCACTAAAACAGAGTATGCTCAAGTAGGTCATCCACACTGAAATATACAGAGACAGTTTTAGATATTAAAGTTACCCAACAGTGATGAGAAGGAGACCAGCTGGTGATTCTTACCAGAAAATTAATTAATTTAAAAAAAAAAATCCCAAGTAAATCTGTATTTGGCAATTCAGTTCTCCAATTAGTCACACAGACATGCTTGTGCCTTCTCTCGGTCCTGCGTTGTTATAGAACACAGAAGGAGATGAAATGTGCAGCAGCTCCCTCTACAACGGCACGCCACAACTCATTTTGCGTTAGGCTAGTGTAGGGTTTCCTCCACGCCCTGGAAACTAAAATGGGCTGCGTAAAGACGTCCGCTGCTACGTATATCTGCGATTGTCTCCAGCACAATATAAAGATAATTAAATGTGCAATTATTTGTGGAGGGAAATTACACAGACTTTGGAAAAATGATTATGCGTCTTCCTGTTGACACCATTATAGCTCTTAATGTATAAAAAGCATCCTCAAAACATCTTTTAAAATGTAATAATAAAACTATCTGTGCAGCCGTCCTCGTGGATTTTCACTAATGTACTAAACCGCGAACGACAGACGGAAAGAAACAGTATTAAGTACAAAATCCATTAGGATGATCAAATATAGTAAGTCATTATTAGTCCTCTGTGGTTACCTGCTGTGTGGGTTCACCCAAAACAACAACTACAAGGAGAGGATTCCTCTCTTAGCTTAAACCAAGTAATCAATATGCCTATTTATATATAATCAGTGCAGAGAGACAGCTCTGTCCTGTATGACTAACCTGGCATTTCACTGGTTGAATGTTATGCAACTTCTTTTTGATTTCTCTCAGGTGGAATCATCTGCATTGCACCGTTTTTTGTTTTTTTATCTCTACAATATGTTGTTTTAATGTTTTCATTTTCATGCCCTTAAAAAAATCCACTTCTTCTAGATCAAAGTTTAATGCATTTTCAGCATATTTTCTTATAATAGCTCAAAGCAACTTCTAACTTAAATGTAATGTTTACTGATGTTGGCCCCCGCTAAAACTTCTCTTTGGGCTTTGATGTTTTTTTAATTCACAGCGCTGAGATGTGCTTTAATTAACGCAACACAAAGTCTGAGCGTTCTCCAGTGACATTACCAGAGGACAAATTCCAACTTAGTGACTCCAGAAACGTCTCAAACTGAAAAGTGTGCTACAGTGATTATGAGTTTGAGATGAATAATAAATCAGATTTGTTTTTCCGTGAAGTGGCTCAATGGAGATAATCTACGATCTCTCTGTGCGCTTCTTTATCGTTCTGCTTCTGTGTTTTCTCTTTTTGTTTCCTCCTCTCCGTCTTTCGCTCTCTCTCTGTAGAACATCATAGCGGAGCATGAGATTCGTAACATCTCGTGTGCAGCTCAGGATCCAGAGGATCTGTCCACATTTGCCTACATCACCAAAGACCTCAAGTCCAGTCACCACTACTGCCATGTCTTCACTGCTTTTGATGTGGTCAGTATTGACACTCTGCTGTGCTCACAGGTGAACATCAGACTCACTGTCCAAGATCACATTCACCTATTTGATTTTGCCTTTTTATCAGAACCTGGCCTACGAGATCATCCTGACGCTTGGACAGGCCTTCGAGGTGGCCTACCAGCTAGCCCTACAGGCTAGGAAGAGTGGCCACGGATCATCCACACTGCCCGAAAGCTTCGACAGCAAACCCAGCAAACCTGTCCCTAAGCCACGCATCAACATCCGCAAGTCTGTAAGTAACGCAGCTGCACAGCTGCACAGCTGCACTACTGTTCAAAGAAAAAATCCATCCCTGTCAAGTTCCACAATAGTGAGGCCACATGTTCCAGATGGTCTGGATTGGATTGCTTTGGTCTAAAGTGAAAAAGCTTCAGATTTTTTGAATTTCATTCCAATAAAGCACTCCTATTTTCACTGGACTCTGTCCATAATACCCTACCAGTATCATCCTCACTCATTTACATTATTTCTAAACATCTGAGATTGGTTTTCTAGCTCTATCTGCTCATGTTCTTTGCTTGCGTGCGCCTTGGCCCAGCGGACTAAGCGGCAGAGGTGTAGGTGGATATTTGATCTGTTAAGCGTTCACTCAGTCTTACTGTCCCTGCAGTCTCTTACACACTTGGCTGATTGATGATGCGTGTTTGCATAAAGCTCCAGGGAGGCTTGCCCGCTCTCTCTCCGGGTGTGCATGAGTGTGTGTGTAAAAGAAGATAAAGAATTCTCATGTGGAGGACTGCATTATAGGGAAGAGCTTTTCGCTCATGTGCAGTAATCTGCTTAAGGTAGGGCTGGGTATGGTAAGAAATAAATACAAATGCTGATATACAAATGCTTTGATGGTTTAAATGATAAGCTGAGGAGCTTCACTTAAGCTGCATCAGTGCATACAGAGCAAAAGAGGAAAAAACCCTAGTCTTCTCTCAAACCTGCAGGAAAGCACCTGAATGTAACCGTAATGGATTTAGAGAACGATGATGGTTAAGCAGAGCAAAGTGCTCCATTTTTGCCCTTATTTCTGCTCGCAGATATCATTCAGAACTGTGAACTTGTTCTGTTTCCTCCTTTAGCCTGACATTCCCTGAAGTGTAATAGATATCCTCGTTGGTGGCTGTATAGTAGCTTGACAATGGCTTTAGTCCAGCTTGTAGCATCGATGGGCTAAAAGATAGCCCTTCAATAGTGCTTATTGAACAGATCGTTCTGCAAACAAAAACTGTTTCATGTCTTGTGTCAACTCGATAATCGGGATGAGTCCAACGTCTGAGCCCAGGCAAAAGCTACAATGACGGATGGTCATATTAAAAGTGTCCAAGGTTTCAAATATTACAGTTATAGTGTTCCAAAAGCTCAGGCTGCAGATGCACCAATGGCTCAATTTCAGAGTGTTTTTCTGTTCTTGGATGTACTCTTGTACTCTTATATGACACCAAAGCGAGGATATTATCTCATGCACCCACCCACTGGTCAAACCTCCCGTTTGCAAACGGCAAAGAGAAGAAATTTTAAAGGGATTGTGGCTTTAAAAAGGAGAGGAAGTAAAATGGCCTGTTTTAGGCAGGTGGTGAACTAAGAGTCTGCAGCAGTTACTTTGGACACATTCATTCAAAGTCTCTCGAGTTGAGTCCAAGGCTTAAAATCTGAAGCTGAAATGAGCTTAATAGGTCTCAGACAAGTCTAAATTTATCAGTCATGCTTCTAGTGGACTCTATATGCCCCTAACAGTTATGCAACTTATATTGATACATATAAATTATGGTAATCAATACCCAGCCCTCGCTGTTTAACAGCTTCTTTCCCAAACGGTATCATAAAAGCATGTGTCATGCCTCCATCAAATACGGCGTCACAAAGTCTATCAATAAACCTGCAGCCCTTCCATAAACCCCACAACAGACAATTAAAATAGTCACCCTAACCCACTCTGCACTCACTACCCTCCTCCACTGACAAACACCAGCTCAGGCTCAGCAGCACACATGTGAGTCCAAAAGGCCTGGTACAGAGTTATAGTTGCTGCTGTAACGGTGTGCTTGGACCAAATTTACATACTGTGAGTCATGAAAAAAAAAAGGTGATTGAGTGGAACAGCAGTTTCATAGGACTGCTCTCGCTTTCTAAAGTTAGTGTGAGATGTGAGATGGTGAGGAAAGATGGGAAAGGAGAGTGCCTACAGAGATGATGGATGATGGCATGTGTACACACAATCTGCTTAGTCGGCAACCATTACATTAACCATTAATTGTCTTTTTTCCTGCCTGCTTCATGTATATGTATGTGTGTGTGATGTAGTTAATGGCTTGTGGTGTGCAGCAGGGCAAAGATACTGCAGGATTCATTTAATATTCTTGCCACCCGCCAGCAATGATCTCCATCCTCCAGCACCTCTAAACCCATGTCCTTTGTTTCTCTGTGCACCAGTAACAGTCTCTCCACATCCTCCCATTGTCATATTTCCCCTGTGAGCATATCAGCTTGCAAACCCCCCCCAACTTCCACTTAACTTACAAAGGTGAACTTTGAACTAACCAAGACTGGTATGTTACTGTAATCTGTAATGTGACACTTTTAAAGCAACAGATTTCATTTTAGATGGTCTACAATAGGCCTGGGCCGTATCAGATTATAACAGCTGTTTAGAAGTCCTTATGGAAGATGGAGACTATGAGTGTAGAAAAATGCCTCCGCCCCATATACTGTATATTAAAGATGGACATAGCAGTCGTGGTTTCACTAATTGGTTAGCAAAATCGGGCTTTTAAGTGTTTTCGCTGTTGCTATATTTTTTGTTACTTAACCAGACAAATCTAACTGACAAACTGAGAGACTAGGAAATCCTTACCCTTTAACAACCTTTAAAACAACTGGAAACCCGTCATGAACCTGGGGGAAATTGTCTAAATCCATTTGAATAAACTGAGCCTGAGTGTTAGAGACACTTTTTTTTCAGAGCTTTTTTTGTACAGTTGCTGTGGCATATTCATACTAGTGGGAGTGTTGTTGCCATGCAGGAGTTGCTATATAAGTGTGGCGTAACATTGCCTTCTCCAGTTTGAGTTTTGCTGTGTTGTGGTAATGCTGCTGTCCCCCGCTGTTTCCAGGGCAATGAATTTGCTGCCATGTTGTTGCCATGGTTTTTTTGCTCTTGGTTTTAGACCGCTGTTGCCTTTTTTCTGTTGCCATGTAGCTGCTCTGTCCTGGCTGTGGTTTTTGCCTTGCTGCTTTGTTGCTTTTGGAGCAGGCCGACTTTGACTTGTGTATGACCTCTGCCTCCTTGTAGGTCATCATGCCCCCCTCCAGCCGCTGGTCACTGGGCCACATTTACACCCCTCACCGGCCTCCTCTTCACCCTCCTCTTCCTCCCTCTCGACTCTTCCATCTTCCTCACAAAGCTCAGTCACAGGTCCTCCACGCTTTTCCTTCTCTTATCCTTTGTTTTCACATAATTTTTCATTTATTCAAGGAGAAGGCGCCATCTGTAAGTGCTTCCATTTTAATTCTGTTGCTTTTACTCAACTGACTCTGCATCCTTGTGTGTCCTCTTTGCTGTGTGTGTTTCTTCATTTACTACCTCATGGCTCGATATCACTTTTAGTTGCGCTGGTATTAAAAGGACAGCCAATCTTGCAGAGCCAATCCATTTCATAAGTGCTTCAGTTTTTACGTGTCTGTCTGTACCAATTCAGCCTCTGGATGGAGATGCACCGCCTCCTTCTTTGTGGTATATTTGAGATGGTAAATTAATATAAATAAAGCGCTTTGATCAATAAACAGTAGAGTTGAGCGGTTGGACGTATAAACCAGCTAACAGTAATTGGACCGAGCTGAAGGATGAGGGATTTTTTTTGGTCTTTTTTAAATTTTGTTAAATTATGCTAATTAAAGGGTCTGGCTCTTGAGAATTCGACTCAGTCAATAATTCTCTCGTGAATTCCTTCCTTTCTTTTTTTGTGTTTAATAAATTCTTAGAGTTGCCAAAGATTCTCATCATTAGTGACCTTGTATGTCCTAGCTTGCCAGCTACGACAAGTGTTGTCAGCCTTTCAGTGGCACATGGTGCAGGTTGTGTGGCCTAAATACTGAATTGCATACATTTTCCCCATTTACTTGCTCTTTCATGGCTCAGTCATACTACAGTGAAAATAGGACCGCAACCTCTTTCTGATTTGGAAAAAACTGGTGGTTGCCCAAAGACTACGTTGATTTATAGTTATATAGTATATTATATATTATATTGAGTGTGTTGAACGTGCAACACACTCAAATTCTGGGCAACCAATTTCAATCACATGGTGATTGCTTGGGTCAACTGGCAGCAGGCAACCTGTCTCCACACCATCGCAGTATGACTCAGATTGACTGCAGTCACCCTCAGATAGACTAGCAGCAGTCTGCAAATAATTTCCATCTAATTTATAAATGGAGACAGATTTCCAGCATATTGTAATCACCCTGAGTCAGTCTTCACCGACAAGTGCAACTCAGCAGGAAAGCATCGCAATAGGGGACTTGATTCAACTGGTTATTTTCTGTTTATATTCTTATATAAAAGTAAGGTTTTAGACTGCCTATAGCATTTTGCAGTTACATTTCCGTTCTGCAGAAACTATATCACTATGTGGGAATGAATTTCTGAATTTCTGTTTTAAATTTATGAGGGTCTGGCAGGACTTAGAATTTTATGTGAATTTCTGTGTATATAGATGGCAACAGATTTGCGTTTTTTACTGATTTGTTACAGTTGAACAACTTGACTCCATTCAATTGGAGCAAATTGGTCTTCTTGCCAATTTATCACATGTCAAATTTACTTTGAAGATTGTTCTTTGAAGCAACTAAGGCAATAGGGCTGGAAGTTCACAATAATTGTGGTCGTCCTGCAGTCTCCAACTATGGTTTTCCCTAGTTTGATTGTAACATTAGAGGCTGCACTTCATTTAGATCAAGGCTGTGAAACATAAGTCCCGGGGGCCAGAATCGGTCTGGCAAAGACTCCAGTCTGCCCCACTGGATAGCTTTGGAAAATGATAACAAGGGACAAATTTTGGACTTTTAACTGGATTTTTCCTTTATAAAGATCCCCATGGGTCCCTCCATACTCATACACCAATGTAATTAGGTAATAAAGAATTAAATGGGAGCAAAGTTTCTGGGTTTTCAACATCTACAGAAATGTGTTATTTGTTTTTTACAGCATAAATCTGCAGTTTACAGATTTATTCCTTCGTGTTTAAGCCTGAAGAGTGCTGACAGATTCTTTCATTTAATTTCATGTGGAAAAACTGATGTCTACTGTTGTACTTATATTAAGATCTCTCAGGGATTGAATGTGTAGTTAAAACTTCACAAGTCATTTTCATGCGAATCATCAAATCAAACGCTGGACTCAGAGTGGCCTGCTGGAGCATTTTAAGACACTGCCTACCCTTTATAACAAATGCTTAAAAATGAGCTAAATGCTTAAACACACTTAAAACCGCGTAGGTTCAGTACTTCCAGAACTAAATGCTTGCACTGAACTTTTATATTTCGAGTGCTTTCACTTCTGGCCCAACCTCACACTCGCCCAGAAACATCTTCATCTATCACACAAAGCATATGATTTTTATAAAGGGTCATTAAAGAACGACTGCCGTTCCACAGTGTATGTAGTGTGCCAAGAAATTATTCAAAAGTTCAATAGACCCACACTACAAAGAGCATGTTTTACATCGGTTTGGACCACTGAGTTCGGAGCCAAATCAAACATTGGACGCCCCGGTAGCATCACTTAAAGTTTCTCTTCCCACCCCTTCCTTGGGAAAAATTCATTTTGAAGGCAGACTATTCATTCAGCGTCTTCATGTGTGGTTGATGAATTTGATACTGGTGATGCTCTGGATGAGCTCTTCACTGAGCGTGATGTGTTGTGATGCTGCGAGATCGAAAGTGTGTCTGTGTTTGCCCTAATCCTATAACCCCAAAACAGGATTATATGGTCTTGCTCTGGCTGTGTGTGTGTGTGTGTGTGTGTGTGTGTGTGTGTGTGTGTGTGTGTGTGTGTGTGTGTGTGTGTGTGTGTGTGTGTGTGTAAAGAAGAGGGTAGAGAACCATATTAAAATTACAGTTAGTTTCAGTACTGTTGCTGTAGCAGTGTGTTAAGAGAAGATAACAGAACCATGGCTCTGTCAGTGCACCGCAGAGTTAATCCAGTTTCCTCCAACAACACTACGACACCTTTCAAAGCTGATCTTTTTTGGCTTTATTATAAAATGTTAACACTACATGGAGATGCAGTTAATAATTTGCTCATATATGTTTGCAATTCAAGTTTACAAACACGCGTATTCCTGTACCGAGTCAACTTTACCGCCGCTGCCATCCCCCAAAACCATCTGAAAACAAACCAACAGACTGGAGGAAAGCCACCCTCGGCAATACGCCTCTTGATTGTTGCCTTGGGGTTATTTTTGAAAGCGCTCTAGATTGTTTGGTTTGTTTCTCAGCCACCACGATGGCTTTGCAGTTACAGACAGCATCTCTGTTAAAAGTCTTCGAAGCTGCAGGAAGTGGCTCAGGAGGTAGAACAAGTTGTCTGCTCAACGGAAGGTTTGTGGTTCGATCCCTGGAAGTGCCAAAGCATCCTTGGGTAAGCCAAGGCCAAAGTGCTTGTGAATGAAGAAGGTTGTATAGCATTTTAGAGTGGGACAGGACTATATAAGAACTAGTTCATTTACCATTTGTACAGCTTATAGGTGATGCACTGCCTCAGTGTGAACACAGACATGACATTTATTCATATTAAAAAAAAATGTGTATATTCTCAGTTCTGCTTTCTCATCTGTAATATTTTCTCCCGCCACCTCATTTCTCTGTAAGCAGCCGATCCTCCACCTCCATCTCATTCATTCTACTGTATCACTCTGATGTCACCGACTATCAGCATGAAATAATATCTGAAAATTGCACCTCAAGTGGATTTTTTTAAAACTACAACACAGACTTTTGCATTGTTTGGTTTGAAATCATTCAACACAGCGATACTATATAATAAATTGGCCGTTTGTCCTGCTTCTCCCCCTCTTGTTTTTTTCTAACTCTGCTTCTCCCCGTCCTCCTCCTCCTCCGACTCTCTCTGTGTCAGATGGAGCAGCCATCCATGGATCAGAAGGGCCATGCCAACGTGCCGTGGATTGTGGAGCCAGGTCAGGAGGCCAAAAGAGGAGTCAACACCAAGTACGAGACCACTATTTTCTAACATACACCCGCCTTGTCCAATCCTGTGTGTGTGTGCCTTTCAGAGGTTGCCCTGTACCGGGGCCCCGCCCCGGAGTTGGGCACGAGCGACGCACGCCGCCGCGCCACCTCACCGGCTGAAAAAATAAAAATAAAAAAATTAAATAAAAAAACCCATCTCGCCCCGCCCCCGATAGCCGAGCCTGTCCACTGCATGATGACGTTTGGCGCTGCGTTGTCTCTCTCTTCTTTCTCCTTGTCTCTTCTTCTCTCTTTTATTTCTGCTCTCCCCCCCTCTCTTTGGCCTGGGCCACATCCTCCTGCCTGCAGGGCTGGCGCATGACCTTTGAACCCAGGGCTGTGGTGCACTTCTGTCTCCACCTGTAGGGGGAATGGTCAGCTCTGTTTTTCCACTTCATGTTTGTCGGTCAGTCAGCAGTCAACCACTCTGTTATTCTGCTTCCAGTTTCTTGTTTTTTTGGTTTCTTTTTCTTCCTGTTTATGGGTGCAACCATTTGGCTTCGTCTCTCTCCTCCTTTTCTCCTCCAACTGCCTCCATCCCTCACTTTACTATTCATTTTAGCCCTTTTGTCCAACTGCCCCTGATAACTTGAACAAGATTTGAAACCAGAGCACTGCTAAGAGGCGAAACAGTGTTTTAGCTGTCTCTGAGCACCGTGTGGGAGCTGACAGTGAGGAGGGATGTTGTCCTAACTTGACAACTGGAGGGAAATTTAGACTTTTTAAACACTTTTTAATCAAAGAGGAGAGCTGAACTTTGGGAGAGGTGATGTAGCACAGTCTAACTTTGACTCAAACTGGTTCATCCAGCAGGCTACTAGAATGTATTTCAACTTTTTGATTCTTTATATCAGATTATTTTTTGGAGATAAACTTGTAAATTTCTTTGACAAACTATATTTTAAACTTGACCTGTGACACAGGAAGATCTAGGTGAACTTTTGCTTTTCTAGCACCTTTTTTCAGCACATGTTTGTGTATATGTTCAGAATTACTTTAATCACGTGGAGTTTTTTTTGTTTTTTTTTTTACCTTGTTTTCATTTTTTTTCCCAGCCCATAAACCTTGTTTTATTTGGGGGAATAAATCTTGTATGTAAAAGGTTTAGCATGTGGCTTGTGAAACGCATGGTGGCCATTTTGGATTTGCTGAGCAGGGGGGCCAGTGGAGAGGCGGGGTGTGAGGGCTCTCTCGATAAGTGATGTCATCTCATTTGCAGGGCAATGCCGGATGCTCATGTCTATTACTGTGGAATGCAAAGAATGTAGCCAGCCCTAAACATGGACCTTGTCACACACACAATGCAAAAAGGACTACAAAGGACCCTCTTGTTCACTTTTCAAAAGGACTACAAACATGGATGCTACTCCACAGTTTAAAGTTGACTACAAAATTTTAACGTCATTCATCCACGTGTTGCTAGACACAGTAAACATCGGACCAACTAATAATTAAACACACACACACACACACACACACACACACTGACAGGACTGCATCTTGACAGACGACCGTCTGCTCTGAATGTACACTTATTTGAAAGCAGCCTCAACTTTCTGCAACTCCAGCAGGATCCGTTTTATGCGCCCAACTGGGAGGCATGACCTTCGAACTTTTTGGCAGGTCAGCATCTCCATGGAGACTGTGAGTATGGTTACAGGGCATGTTTAGGTAATAGACGGCGGGCTGACTAAAGGGCATCACCGGGCATGTGTCAGTGTTGGCATGAGTTCCACGATGTCTGGCTGGCTCTTTTGGTCTTCTTTATTTTATTTCTTTGTTGTTGTTTTTCCTTTAATGTCAGAAAATAATAAAGAGATATATGCACAAGTGTGTAAATGACTAGCTGCAACACGCTCAAGATGCAACGGGTGTCTCATAATGGATGAAGAGCCTATGTGAACAAAGCATCTAGAGTCTAAAAAAAAAAAAAGTATTCTATTCGTATTGCCTGACATTTTAATGTTTAATATGAGAGTATTATATTACCATGAGGATTATGATTATACTTGTGCAATTCTTGTCTACTGTTGTCTTAATGTTACATTATTTTTCTATGATATGCTGAAATGAAAACCTTGGGCCTGAGAATGATGGCAATCCTTTAACAAAAAAAAATAAAAAATAAAATAAAATCCGAAACTAGGCGATCACACTTGTACACAGAGAGCGAATGTCGCAGGTGGCTAGCTAACTTTTAGGTCAGGTCAACTCTCCATCATTTCTCACGGGGCTCTACTCTTATCTAGCAGATGTACTATTTTAAAAACGCAGTATTACTGTATTATTTGGATGAGAAATCATCCAGTTATAAAGTGTACATAGATATTTTGCCAACTCATTGTTCATACATGTAAAAGAAAAGAATAAAGGATTTGCAGCAAATGGCACTGGAAACATGGTACCAAAATAAAGGTTGGACATTTTAAAAAAAAAAAGTGGTAGATTGTAGAGACTGTATTTTGAGTGCAAACTAACATGAATTATTTGGTGTCATCACTGCTGACCAACTAATGTACATAGGCTTGGGCTTCCAGCACACTGATTTTTGTAATTTTGGCCATTATTTATATCCTTGTAAATCACATTAAATAAAATATGACTTGTACAACCATATTTATCCATGGAATGAAGTTGTTATTACATCTTTTTTTTTTCCATTCTCAATCACTGCATAGAAGATCTAATACCAGAGTAAACATAAACATTCCTAGACACACATTATCTGACAATAGTGGCTTATTTTGGTATTGGTTACCACTGTGACTGAGAGCAAAGATGGAGATATTTGAGTAATGTTCCTCTATTGTAGTGTCTGCAACTTTTCAACCTGAATATTTCAATGAAGCTTTAGCTGCAAATCCTACTCTGTTTGTAGTACTAACCCTTGGTGCAGCTTCTGCAGGTGATAAGGATGCATCTCCAAGTATCACAAATCACGTTGCACTGATTCTCATTTGCAAAATGTACTTTTACCATCTGGGTCTTGCCCCATTTCTGCACAACAATCACCATCTCAGAACTTACTTGCGCATTATAGTGTGTGTAATATTTCACATACCTCAAACTGGACCTGCTGCCCAGCTGTGATGTCTGGGACTTCAAAACTTCACCGCTTTCTACCAAGGAAATTGAGAAAGAGAGGAGAATCATTTGTCTCCTCCAGGCTTCAAAGCATTAAGAATCTCTACAAATCTTCTCTTTGTATTCATTCTTAAAGAGCTCTTCTCTTAGTCTTGCTCAACAATTTGAACACAAATTAACACTCATGGGAAAAGCTGTAGTTAATAAATCAGTACAATATTGATTGCAGAGCTCTCAAGAGTTACTTTCTCCTCCACCAGCTTGTTTTTGGTTTGTAGGAAGTTCCTCACAGAATCCTGGTGGATTATTTATACCTTCAGGTGGTGAAAATCACTGAGGTCTCAGGGCAGTCGTGTAAAAGGAGTTAGTGAAAGTGAAAACAATTGTGAATCCACTGGACAGAAAGATGTTGAGACAGTAGTGAAACAGACCAAAAGTTTGTTAAAGTGTACTTTCACCGATAGTTATACTCAGCATCAAGACTGTAGTGAAAAGACATAAGCTGTACTCGAGAAAAAGAACAAAACCCACTGCTGTGCACTACAAACCTCTAATTAGGTGTATACAATTATATATAGGAATTTTTTAGTATACTAAAAACAGATCGCAGATGAGCTCAGAACTGATCAGATGAGCAACTTCCTGCTCTGACACTGAGGTCACTGCAGGGTGAGCAGTTAGCTGCCTCCTCATTAACCAAATCATCGAACTTTACTGCGTGCCTCTTTGCATGTAGAAAAAGCGCACACACACTGACACGACACGTCTGCAGTGAACCATTGCAGCTGCTGTGTATTTGCAGAGAGACTCCCTATTGTAAAGTGTTCACAATATGAAATCATAACGAGCAACAAATCTCTGCATATATAACAGAAGCAATCATTTTCAAAAATGACCGCTCCCCTCTGCTTCCTAATTACATTCACTTCTCAGCTGATTAACCACATTTCATTTGCATTTTTCTGGGTTTCCAACCACTGAATGGGAGGCAGATAGATTGTGACAGGAAGGCAAAGGCCTTTGGCCATTACTGAGTTACCGTTCTGCACATCGTGTCAGAGAAATTTTGCAGTTAAAGCGAAACATGCAGTCTATTTGAGTAAGGTACGTCTCTGAAGTCACACCATGATTTTATCCGATGCCTTTCCTTTTTTGTAAATCTGACACAAAATTGAAGGTGCAAAATGAAGGAATGGAGGTGCATCACATGCTTTCAGGTGAAAAAAATAAAATATTCACCTTATGATACAAACTCACGTTAACATTAGTCTTTCAAAAACAACGAAAAGATGAGAACTGTGCAGTTAACAAAAAAGAAAATCTACATGAAGAGGCTGGTAGGGTTTGGATCTGCAGCTGTTTGCAAAGATCCGCTCTATTGAAGGTGAGTGTATTTCTGATCAAGAAGTACTATTTGAATGAGCCACCTGCTACATTTATATCAAATCATGTAAGTATTCGGTCACTCCATTTCATATCATCGTGGGCCGTCTGCTTGACAATCTCTGATTTGCAAAAATGTTTTATTATTCAAGCTTTATTACAATTTTAGCCTCACAAATAGATTAAATTAAATAGTTATGTGATTTACATTCAACTTTCATGCTGGATTCTGAAAATATTACTAAAAAGTTGTATCACAAACAAATATCAGTAGATGGTGTATCCAAATACAGTCAGCATCACTCCAAATTATTCACAGAAAATTCAGCCTCACTCCCAAACCGTCGCTGCAGATAGCCACCGTTCCCTGAGCTCGCTTCTGCCAGAGGTTTCTTCCTGTTAAAAGGGCGTTTTTCCTTCCCACTGTCACCAAATTACTTGGTCATACGGCATCATCTGATTGTTGCTATTTTCTTTGTTTTCTCTGTATTATTGTAGAGTCTTTACCTTTATAAATATAACGCACGTTGACGGAACTGTTGTTGTCATTTGGCACTATATAAATGAAACTAAAGTGAATGTTTAAACACTGCCTCAGATTTAAATGTGCAAGAAAATAAAAAGCCTCAGAGTCGGTAGATGAGTCTTTTTTAAATATATAAAGCTAAAATTTCACAGTAAACATGATATAATATGTCCAAATTGTAAACCTTGTCAATTTCAGGCAAATCAGAGGTAAAGTAACTTGACTCTGTAGTATGCTAGCTGAAATACTGTCTCTATGTAGAGAGACACTATTTAAAATAAGTGGTAGATTTGATCAGTGTAATTAACTGGCATTTCTTGTGTGCCATCTCCCACATTTTGAGGCTGCAGTAATGTGAAAATTAAACTGCCTTCTCAGTCAGCAAAAGGTGTCTAAAAGTCTTTTTTTTTTTTGCAATTTACAACCTAGAAGCTGTTAGAAGCAGAATAAAATGAGAGTTAATGGGGGATTTTAAGGGATATAAATTGCTTTAAATCCCAACGCTGCATAAATGTTGGTGCTGGCTCAGAAAAAACGTTAAAAATAAACAACGGGATGCTCCATAAATATATAAACAAGGGCTTAGTGCACGGTTTACATCACTGTCAACGTCTTTTACCAACTCATGTAGACGTATGGATGAGTGGATGTGGTTTATTATCTATGAAACTACAGAGGACTGACATTTACAGCAAGTCTGTGAAAGGCTGAACAAGCATTTGCCATGAGCTATAAACCTCAGCGCAAAATGGCTCGCAATCTGTTTGCAGGTTGGACAGTTCAAATCTGCAGCCGAAAGAAGCCGACAGACCGCTGGGCCGTTCTCTGAGATCGGAGGAGAAAGGCGTGGTGCTGTGGCACATTCGTTTGCAGAAGATTTACTGCCAATCTGCAATTTGGTGCATTCTGTTGAAAACTGACAATGCATTATATTGTTTTTATAAAAGGACACTACTGCAGGAGGAGAGTGGGAGTTAATTCAAGATATTATTTCTGGAAGATTATACTAAGAGTGGAGGAAGTGGTGCAGTGGATGCTGTATGCAGGCTTCCCAAATCTCCACTAGCTCAATTTTATTTCTACTGCTGGCAGCGGTGGAGACACTTAACTGAGCACAAAGAGATACAGCGAGGACACAATAATGGGGGAGGACGTGAACACATGGACAAGCATGGCAGGTTTTTTTGCTGTTACGAGAAAATGACCAATAATGGCAAAATGGTTCTATTTGTTGACACCAATTTTTTAAATTTTGTACTGTCTGCAACGAAGTGTTAAGCAGGAAGAGTGCACGCTTTGTTTCAGTGTCTGTGTCAGACTGTGGGACAGGGCCAAAATCCCAGATGGTGTGTTCTTCCCACGGCCACTAACTAAAATGAGAATACTTTAGAAAAACAACTCATGTAACAATCACAATTATATCTGGCATTCGTTAAACAGAGACGGCTTCAAGCAAGATTACGGAGTCATGAATGGAAATGAGGGAGAAAAGAAACAGGTCTGTGTGGACATTTAGATTCAGCTCCTTGGACACACCTGAATCCACCGTTCCATGCCTCTAATATGCAAACAGAACCAAAAAATTGGATTAGTATCTGCCTTGAGAAACTGTTTTACATAAAAGACAATTTGCTTCTTGTGGTAAATGACTGGCTGAGCACAAAACACCTTTTTTGCACCTGTGCAGATTTGCAGCAATACTGGCATTAACATAATGTCCTGGATGAGCTCAACATAGAAATGGGCTTGCTAGAAAGTGTGCAACAGAGAAATCAACTGGTTTTGCAAAAGAGTTGAACAAAAGGTGAATCAACACACATGCACACAGAGAGACACTGCTAAGCAGCAGCTTGTGATGTCAACATGATAAAGCTGGACACAATGAAGAGTGTTGGTCCAAAAAACAAAGAAGCAAAAACCAAACAGACTATGGCCTTCTCTTAACACAGAAACACCCGAGCGAACAACCTGGATTCTCAAAATGAAACAAACACAAACGCAGTGCGGGATTTGACATTGGCATTTGTTGACAAGTTAAAGTTTAATGTACTTATCCAAATAAAAAGCTGATTATCTGAATAGAAATGTACTTTAAAAAAATCTTTGAAATACAGACCTCAGGAGAAACATGGAAGCTACAGGCTAGCATGGTAAAAGCTCTTCTTAGTGACTTATGACACAATTTTAACCAAACTAAACTGCGAAGGGAACCACTGCAGAACCTTTTGTAACAGACCTAATCTACTTAAACCACCTTCGAACAGCTGAACATGCATATTATGAACAAGCTGACAATGGAAAAGTTGCTATGACTAAAGCTAAAGCTAGGCAGAGTCAGAGCTAGCCTCCAGTTTAATCTTTTTTCTTTTTTTTTTAAATGAAAATAAAATTTTATATTTAAGAAATGAAAAGGTTTTGTAAATGTAATCTTCACCTCAATATTTATTATGCACTCATTTACACAACTATGGGCAAAACAGAATGCCCTTTCCTGACATATAATTTGACCTGGACTACACCTGAAATATGAGGTAACTGACGTAAGCAGTTGTGTAGACTGCTAACTTTCTTAATTGTATTATTATTCTGCCGTCTACCTAATATCTGTAAAAATTAAAAAATGTATCATGAAATTTATAATTTCTTTGATTTCAAGGACTTTTAATGTAAAATTTTACGTTCCTCTTCACCATCTGCACTGCAGACTTCTCCCACAACTCCACCCAGTGCTTCCTGCAGAAGTTCTCTGACGACTCTGCAATAAGGAGTACAGAGAACTGACCCAAGGCTTTGTGGACTGGTGCCAGCAGAACTACCTCCGCAGGCACCGACTTCCGCAGGCACAAACATCCTCCACTGCAACCACTGAACATCCAAGGTATGGACATTGAGACTGTAGACAGCTACAGGTACCTTGGTGCGGAGACTCAGGTCTTTTGGAGTGAATGGCCCACTCCTGAAGACCTTCTATGACTCTGTGGTGGCCTCAGACATCTTTTATGGTTTGGTCTGCTGGGGTGGTAACATCTCTGCCGGGGACAGGAAGAGACTGAACAGGCTGATCCGCAGGGCCAGCTCTGTTCTAGGATGCCCTCTGGACCCAGTGGAGGTGGTGAGTGACAGGAG